CAATAAAGAACACTAAAATGCTTACAATTCATAGTGCAAGATTATTTCATTTAAGGCAATAATTGCAGAGGCCATTCACAGACACAACACTGTTACTAGAATTGAATCTTGACTTCGAACTCATGTTTGTGGGAAAAGTCTGCATTAGTCTGACGACGTAAGGGCGAGAAAGTAACAGTAAATGATTTGTAACCGCGAAGAGAGGCAGGCGGGGTTCGTGGCGTCACCTCCGTAGCCGGTGAAGCAGGCGAAGATGAGCCAGCCGAGCGCCAGCGCCCAGGCGACGGGCGACCAGCCGGCGTACACGGCCGCCTCGGCTGCGCTGTACTCGAAGTCCAGGCGCGCCTCCGCCCAGCGCGACAGCAGCGCGTAGTAGGCCAGCGCGCCCGCCGCCGCCCACCCGCCCGCCACCGCCGCCTGCGCACCCCGCACATGCGGACGTGGAGGTGGGTGGACCAGGACTAGGAAGGGGGAGGACACATCGCGCGCGGCCATGGTACTGCTCGGGCATTCGTCTAGTGTTGATGGCGGAAATAAAGGAAAGCTACCCACGGGAGCAGCTGGAAACTCTCCTGCAGGCAGCGGCTGAATTCGATCTATCTGTCAAGTCTGTTTCGAAAATCCTGACGCAGCCAGGACTCGACCCCTAAAACCCTCCGCACAGAAGCATCGCAGTTACATTCATGGATGCGCTGAGTCGCATAAGCCAGTAGTTTGGTAATGCGTTGCTAAGTTATTTATCTATTATTAATCACGGAAAATTAACACCGACCTAGCTGTTTAGAAGTTTGAAAAATCTGCCCCGCCGGAACTCAAACCGTAGTACCTCCCTGACAGAGTCGCTGGAGAGACAACGGTGACGCTGCCATGAAACCATCTCAGCCGGTTCAAACTCTCAGCTCCTCCGTCCCCGCCCCTCGCCACCCCTCGCCTCCCTTCGCTGCCCAATCGGTGGAAGATCAGCCTCGGTGGATGATGGCATTTGCACACTTTAGTCCTCAAGAGCAGTTTAGGAAGTGAAGCTTTACTTTTGCCACTGAGTAATCAGTTAATAAGAGTATAATATGTATTCTCCTGCGTGACGAGTTTGTACCATAACTAAATGTACAGTATAAAGTCTTAATGCAATTCATTTAATTGGAGTCTTTCGTAAAGCAGTTAACCATTTACATGAATGATGAATTGTTTAAATTAAATTTTGAAACATTTGTATTTTTAATCGTTTCCACCAGATGATCATAGTAATGTGCAATTTCTAGAAATTACTTTTATGAACCGTACCTCATTTGCGCCTCAACAGTGTCATAATTTCGGTAAAATTGGGTAATTGTAATGAGACCAGTAAAAGGTACGGTTACGTAACAAAGCTTACATTAATATTATGGAAGAATTGAGAACAAAACCTACCTTTGGAATGTATACATTTTTTCCGATCTTACTCATGTAGTAACCCAACGCAATTCCCATAACATATGGCGTTGCCCTGTATAACGCAATTTCATATGCCATATTTGCTGTTTTGTACAACTGCGCCATCCTAAGGCGAACAGAAGAAACACATATTTTTTTATAATATCACTTCTACTCTTATTACAGTTGTTATATTAATTATTAAAAGGCAATTTGAGTGGATGAAAACCAGAGTGGTTTAAGTGACATTTTATAACTCCTGAGAAAAACGTGTTTATTTTAGGTTATATATCAGTGGCAAGTATTTTCGTGGTTTTCATGAACAATTGAAATGCCGTGGTTTTAACGATGATCCAAAGCACCACGACTTTACAGTAATATTATCTTAATAAAGATTCTCAGGATTTATAAAATGTCACTTATACCGTTCTGGTTTTCGCCCATTCATTTGAAGCCAAAATTCCGATACTCACGGCATTCCGTGATAAATGACAAGCGACAAATCGTTGTCCCTAGTAGACACGTAGCGCAGGGCGGCTGATAAAACGTTTATTCCCAGCAGAACGGCTGCGCCTCCAATGGGAGATTTGGCGAGTAGCGTCACGAGAGGCGGCGCGAGGAGAGATAGCTGCATGTCCAGCGCCAGTTGGTGCGTGTGAGTCGCACACTGGAAAGAGCATTGCAGCAAACACCATCATATTGATTCTACACAACCAAAAAAATAATAATCAGTCTTTGACGAATAACGTGTACTAAAATTTAAAAAAATTGACAAGCACATGCTACCTTAGTGCCTCAAAATTAAGAGTGAATCATGTAAGGGGAGAGTGTAGCATGGAATTGGTTGAAGTTCCGATTTTTTGGCTAAATAAATAGTTCCAACCTTTTCCTTTCCAAATACATTCTTTGGGTATGTCTGAAAGTATTTATCCTATAAGTTAACCTTCTTCAATTTTTAGCTATCTCAAAAGGTTCTTATGAAAGCCCGTGAACTTTGTGGTGGTGTCACTGCACCTTACCCCTCCAACGTGGGTGGAAAATATGTCCAACAGTACGTTTCTAATTTGGATATATTAGCGTGTCTTTACATCTTAAAAGGGAACTGAGTAGTCCTAGAAGTCGTTGAAGATCAGGGCAAAGTAAAATCCCACAGGTTCTGAATTTTCAACTTTCAGGTAATATCGCATCTCTAACGCGTATCTCGGTGTCCTGTCACTTGAGCAACTACAACCTCAACACTGTCAGTCAAGTCTTGCAGGTGTTCTTTTATTGATTACATTAAAACATCCCTCATGTATAAAGGAGGCGTAACCTTACCATGTCCTCAAACGGGAAGAAGTTCTGGATGTAGAGGACGTTCCTCCACATGTTGCGCTTGCAGATGTCCGCGTTTTGCTGCACCACGCGCCCCCACTGCGGCCCCTGGCCCAGGTGCTCGAAGACGTAGCCGTAGAAGAGGACCAGCGCCACCAACGCGGGCGTCAGCCTGCGAAGCGCAAATTGATCAGGAATGTGATGCGAAAGAGAAAGGATTATGCAAGAATTACAGGTGGCAACATGGTCATAAAAATATTCTATACAAACTAATATACGATAAGATACATCTCGGAGTACAAGGAAGAAACTAGTGTTACTAACACACTTTCGCATAACAGCTACGCGATATTATAATACAGGAATTATGTCCCACAGCTGTGCCTCACAACCAAGTACTGCATAGCGAGCAGCCAGAAAACAACTATAAATTTTAAAATTGTTATAAATATTGGTTTGGATTAAGAAACATCTCTCAGGAAATTGCGGCTAAGATGTAGGATGCCAACTGACGGTAACATGTGGTCACTTGGGCACGTGTGCACTAATGTACATGTAGAGTGACGCAGGAAGTTCTCTAAAAAGTGATAACAACCGTGTAAGAACTGATCCTCGGTACCAGACGACTCACTGGCGCCTGCCGGTGACACGTGGCCCTTAGTCACTAGCCAAACAGTAGGTATATAGAGCAGAGGTTCCAAAGAGTGTGGGGGCACAATTAGTTGCTAGCTGTAACCAGATCTTTCTGTACCCTTCGTTTTGGAATAAACGGCTGTCAACGGGAGTTGGTGTTTGACTCTCTACCTTCCGCCAGTTGCAGCAAAGCCGTGCGAACTTGGACCGCACTCAGCTTTCTCACATCAGAAGAAAAACAACCAACAAATCTCATAAACCTGCAAAACTGTTTCCAATCTCAAAAAAAAAAGTTTCTCATCATTCACGTCTCGAATCACCTGAGTTTGATTCCAAACGCGGAGAAAATATTTTCAATGGTTGTAAACACATTTGCAGGATCATGTAGTGTTATAATATTGCGCGGCTATTACACATAACGCGACACAGTATGTGCTCAGGCTTGCGTTGGCGAGTGTACCTGACGTATCTGGCGACGTAGCGCTTCATCCACTTGACGGAGCCCTTCCGGCTCATCTCGCGCGACAGGTTGTAGGCGATGAGGACGCCGCTCAGCATCAGGAAGGAGTCCGTGTACACGATGGACGCGCGCAGCATGGAGCTCAGCGGCTCGTTGGCGGCCTGCGAACGGCGACTTTCATCACTTGCAACTGAACATCTATATATTTGCGTTTGAAAATTCGGATTAACCACAAATAGTTCACAAAATCAGTTGTTTACTTCCGTTTATATTAGCTTTCCTTCCAAAAATGTTCTTCTAAAAATGTAACAACATAAATCATAAATGACATTACCAAAAATTTGAGTGTTGCAAATGAACAACCTTAATGATAATGAAATTGCCCATGTCTAAATGCCGTCTGCTTGACGTGCAGAGAAATGAAATATCCTGATATGCGCCGATAACTTCATGTCGTATTTGATGCAACACCATTTTTCATTTTAAAATAAAAAATTAACGACTTCTTTGACTTAAGTCGTAAGTCACTACAATGTATAGAACTTGGCGCGAGCGTGATGACCTCGTGTGACTGACCTGCGTGAGCTCGACGCGGTTGACGTAGGGCATGAGCGCGAGCGTGATGACCTTGTGCGCCACGTAGAGGCTGAGCGAGAAGAGGGCGCGCACGCCGTGGATGCAGGGGATGTCGCCGTCGCCGCCGGCGCCCAGCGTCGCCACCAGCGCCGCCCAGTTGCGCCGCAGCGAGAAGGCCATCACGGCCCGCTCCGCCGCCCCTGCGCCCACGCACGGGGGAGTTGGTGCACGCCGTAGCGGACGGCCCTACCGATTTGTGCGCATGCGCATGCACTAAAGTGGTGCGAAACTTGAACTGCGCATGCGCAGAAGATCGATAGTGCTTTAAAGTTCCAGGTGGCACAAACTCCCTAGGGATGGCAAAGAAACACCGATGTGTTTAAAACATTGATATTTGCGAAGTTATAATATGTATGTTGTGCTTTCGATGTTATAATATGGATTGCTCATATTCAATAGCATTTTATAATTGTCATTATTACCGTTTCCTAGCCAGCATGAAATAGTTCTCCAGTGTTATTGGGATTTTTCATTTTTTTTACGCTGCAATATCGTTAAATTGGATTTTGAACCGTGACTACATAGAACTTTGAGTAGTAAATTAAGATAAACGTCATATTTAAGTCAGAATGTACATTAAACCAATATTGACGCATTATGCAGTACATTAGAACTAAGACATTTTATTTCGATACGTTTCATCATTTTTAAAACCTCGATATTTTAAACATTGATTTTTTTTGTCGAAGTTGTTCTCTTTGTCAATTGACGTCGAAATCCTTTTGTTGATGTATCGATGTATGCTAAAATTTGCTATTTCTGGCGATACTACAGAGACTTTCCTATAAGAAAGGACTATTTTGACAGCTACTGCTTGACCATTGCTGGCAACGTAACTGGAGGTTGTGCCTATGCGGTCAATTAGTCAGGACTTTCGTTTACAGTTATCGTACATGTAAATGTACGATACATGTGATTCATCACTGTCCCTTGCATTGCAATCGCTCTACGTGACGTTCATTTGTTTCCCGACCTGTCAAACTGGCTCCTTCTTAGAGTAACTTCTTTATATTCGTCATCATGGAAAAGTATTATCACAGTACACGTACGGTAGCGCAGCTCAGCCAGTTATTTGTCGAGCTACAGATGCCTGCCCACGTAGTTAGCGACCAGGTTGAAGAGATTTAACTACGAATAGCTGCTGCTGAAGTGTACGGATTTGTTTGTGGAGTCCCCTGAATTAAGAGTTAATTGAAAACTAAAAAAAAGAATTCGTGTTGTTTCTTGAACTTGTGGTTTTATAGTCTTAGGCTTTTAAGAACTCATTAAATAACACATAAAATTACATAGAACCAACGTTTTAACCATTTATTTGACATGTTCGGGGCACATTTGTATGCGTCAACTGAATGCTTATACTTCTACAGCTTACACACCAACAACAATGCGTGTGTCGAAAGGGGCGCCCTATTCCGAAATTAAATGCAGTTCCGTTCTTTTCCCTTTTCCAAAAGATGTAGAAAGTAAAGACGGAAACTTGTTCAAGAGCTTAACAGACATATTATTACCTTGAAGATACTCTTTTTTTACTATTTAGATTATACTTATCTTTCTAGGTATATTCGTGAAAAGTAAAGAAACACTTGTTTTCCCTCATGACTCACTTGCAATGGACAACATTACTTAGATTTAAAACATTTCTGTCCTTGAAATTTGTTCAGAACTTCTACTTACTTGTTGTTTTAGTTATATTCATGACGAAATTTGAATATATAAAAACATTTACTTCTTGGTTGGATTAGGCGACTAATGTTCCTTTGTCGCCGCGTGGCTCTCTAGAGTAAACCACGTTATTATAAGGCATTTAACTCAGTGTAATGCGACTGTATAATTACGTCTACTGTGGTATTACTTTGCGGAAAAGTAGACTTTACAAAGAATCCAGCTCGGGAATATAGCTCGAGTGTCATGATTCATCATGGCTGCTGTCTCGCATATTGAGAATGATGTCACGAAACATTCCATAAAATCGTACTAAAAATGTATTCTACTCGTTGAAAAGTGTCTTTGTTGTACTTAATTAAAGTGTACGACTCGCCCCTTAACGTCGCCTCCTCGTCAACATCTTTCGCACACCAAATATTCACTTTTGTACTATTTACGTAAATAACACATGCACACAAAAAAATGTCAGACCCAAAGACTTAACACATTTTTCTCTATGTATTTCGACTCGCTGAATCCGAATCTGAAGCCAGAATTGCGCTACCACCTTGCAAGCTTTTGGGTCTGACAACAACCCCGAAAACAAAAAGTCCAATGTCACGATGTTGTTGTTGTTGTTTTTTTTTTTTTTTTTTTTTTTTTTTTTTTTTTTTTTTTTTTTTTTTTTTTTTTTTTTTTTTTTTGCGATTTAAACAAACTGAATGTGGTGGCGCAATTCTGGCTTCAGATTCGGATTCAGCGAGTCGAAATACATAGAGAAACAAACATCTGACAACGTTTTAATGCACATTGGGCCCATCTTCCCTAATGTATGACAGTTTTTATATATTTTTTCCTATATGTTTTAATTGACTAAATAAGTTCGATTTTTACTTTCTTGTTTTCTACTTACGGAATATAGATGAAGCAGCGTGAGGAAATATAAAAATCAACTGTATATGTTGTCTTGGAATATAAAAGGGCCCGTACGCGTTCGAGACAGAACAGTGTTACCTGCCCGGGTTTGTGCGCCTCGCGTTTGACCGTATCTCGAGTGCGACCGCAGATGCGAAGGAATCATGTGAATTTACTATGAAGTTCGGCAATGTCACGTAACGCGTTCTGCAGATTAACAAAACGCTTCAGGTACTCAGGTACTGGGTGTTTATTTCTATTACACTTACGAAATGAACACCAATAGTGTTGAACTATACTCGAAAATCAAGACGGTGTACTCTCAAAAAATTATCAATTTCTTTTACTATCCCCTATTTGCTAGCCAATCACAAGATACGATACATCATCATAGAAAGCGCTGTCGTGCGCATTTAGAGCGAGAACACAATATAAATAATATTTTACACATTGTTAAACTTTTACGGAAGCAATTCCGTTTGTGAAATTCTAGTGTCCTAAAATACCACCCGTGCATTGGAATTTCCAGATAAATTTCACGTCGCGAGTAGTATTACCTCTGAAAAATAGCTCATTTGGACCAGATATGCTCTCATAAGGAGCGATTTAATTATTAGAACTCCAATTATTACGTGTAACACAGCCAGGTATTCCGAACATGTCATAGAGGGAACAGGCGATGGGCGAAAAATACTACAAAAGATCGGCTCTCGTCTTTTGTTCGGAAATTGAATAGTAAAAAGAAAATAAAAGAAATAAAAAAATAATAAAATAAAATAAAAAAAGAGGTAAGAATTTGAGTATTTGGACTCATCTAAAAATATAATATCTAAGAAATGAAATACGAAATGACGTCATAGCTTGCGCACAATTTACAAATCTGAGATTTAAAATTATAATAAGAGAATGACAGACCCCAATTCTCTAATAAATAAATACCGCGAGAACAAGAAATACAGGCATTTAATTATTGAAAATTATGAGGCCTATGACGCTCTTTACGAGAAAAATTATTCATAGGTGGATTAAATCTGAGTGATACGACTTTGATCTTAACTACATTTTGAACACTTATCCGCACGTGCTCTCACCTGCGGAGGCGGGCGTCGGTTTGCCGTCTCGGTCGCGGAGCGTGGCCGTCGCCGTCACCAGCGCCAGCGCCACGTACAGCCCTCTGCAACGACACGTTTTCAAGGGAAAGAAACATAAGTTTTAATCAAAGAAAGAGATCTGTGACGGTAAATGTTACGAAAGACGCTTGACAATTTCAGTTATTTTGCGATGAAAGAGTGCATTTATACTCGAATTATTGCTTGACTAATATAAACAAATAAAAATATACTTAAAACTCATCAATATCTTCAACCGTTAAACAATAGAAATGTAATTTGTGCAGTATTGCTTAGGTTATTTTGAATAGTTTTGTTTTTAGTACATAATCGGTACATCCACTGTCGTTCATCCGTGACAAACGTTCAATTATAAATATTTTTAAGAGTGAAATCTGCTTAGATTGTATCTCCAAACTTTTAAAGAATTATTGAACTGGAATTTTTAAAAAGATGGATATAGGAAAGAAAATTCTATTTTTTATTTAATTATTTCTACTTATGTGTAATCGCGTAACTACTGTTTAAAGCTTATGAGAATACTACAGTTCCATATTTTCAATGAAGGGTCTTATTGATAGCAAAATATTATGTGATCGTTTAAAAAATCTGTTTCACGTGGGCGAACTCTTCCCCTGAAGGCTGAGAGTAGGTGTGAAAGAAGCTAGTTACATAGAAGGGCGGTGGCGAATCTTGTGGGCGCGGCCCGGGGGTCTGCTTTTCGCGGAGGAGTTAAGGCCGTTCCACAACAGCCCGTGGACGGGAACGGCAACGCCAACGGGAATGGAAAGAAAGTTGAAAGGCGGACCTCTCAGGCAGGCGTTCACAACACCACGGGAACGGGAAGGAAGGCCAACATTTATCTTGGCCCGGGAACGGGAAGCCTGTCGACCAATGAAAGGGCAGCAAATGGAGGCGAAGCATTCTAGCTGATTGAGCGCACGACCTGCGCACGAAACTGGTCTGAGCGGAATTGAGTGAGTTGTGCAACATTGAAGTGCGGATTTGCAAGGTTAGGGTTTGAGGCGGGTGTTGTTAATCATTATTGATTTGGTTTAGTTCTTTGTAGTAATTATAGTATAATTGTGTTTCTATTCATATTAATATTTAAATTTAAAATATCCCAGAAAAATAATTTGTATGTTTCGTGAAAGTACGTCGGAGTTGTTTGTTTATTGATACACTTTTAGTTAGTTGAATTTTCAGTACGTTTTTTTACTGTTTTTCATTCTTAGACGTTTTTCTAATTAATATTCTTTCGATAAAGTATTCATTATTCATAGCAGCACACGCAAACCCAACAGAAAGATCGCCCTCGCCTTCGCGTTGCCTCATCCGTTCGGGGGCCATTGTGGAGGGCCTTTAGGGTCTCCGCTTGGCCTTCTCTCTAACACCTAAAGCGTGCGGACAAACAGTGCAAACGCCACTCAGCGATTTGTGCTGAAGGGGAAA